GTCCCCTCCCGCACCCACTCCCACGCCCCCTCCCGCTCGGATGCCTGACCTTTGAGCCAACTAGAAATTAACAGCCCAGCCTCCTTGCCCCCTCCCTGGAGAGCAAAAGTCTGGCGACAGCCGAGCAAAACCCGTTCAATCTGGTCTTCCAATCAGTGACTGCGGGAAAGACACCAACTGCCCTCCGCCTACCCGGGAATCCGCTCCCAGGACCTGACGGGCTCGACCTTCAGCCTCCCAGGGCCTCGCTGTCGCCTGAGGCCTCAGCAGCGCTACCAGCTAGCGCGGGGGCCCCTCGCCTGCACAGGTACATGGGTATAGTGGTCACCTGCTGCCGCGTCACTGCTGCCCCGCCCCCCACAACTCTTGGGGCCGCGCTCTCCGGCGCCGGAGCCGAAGGGGAACGTTTGCCAGACCCTGGCTTGCATGACGGAGCGAGGGTGGGTTAAAAGTAGCTATTGCAAAAGCCCCACGTCTGATCTTGAGCCTTATCTAGGACTGATAGCATGAAGGTCATTGGAGCTAGCGCCAATTTTGACCGGTCAATGAAGATTGCAAATGTATTGACTCTGGCAGTCGGTATTTGAGGACGATTTGAGCTGTGTGTTTTTTTAATGCAGTTTACTGAAGGAAATATGAAACCAAAGATTATTATTTTCCTTCTCCACCCGCCCCACCCCCATCGTTAATTTGTCCATTCATGTGTGGGACCACTTACTTCAAAGCAGATAGATGCCAGGGAGAAGGATGAAGATTTGGGAGATTATGCTCATCATCAGGGCAGAGTTTGGGAAAGAGAGAAGGCTCTTGAAAGTTGCCTGTTTTTCCTCTCCTACATGGGTTTCTTAGGTAATGTTTTTTTCTTTTCTGATAATTTTTCTTTTGCTTCTGCCTGTTTGCTGGTCATAGTCTCTGGTCTAAAGTCCAAGCATAGAATGCTCCTGCCTGTGGAGTTCAAGACTCCTTGCCAAATTGGCACAGTGCCTTCCTAGGCAGCAAGAAATAGCTAAGGGTCTGTCAGTTCCTACAAGAGTGCCCAGACAATGTCCTTTTCTCCACCCATTCTGTTGTCTGAAGGTGAAAATGGATGTTAGTTCTGATTTAGTGTATTATCACTGATGAACATATGTTTTTACAATGCAGAGTGGGAAGGCTCTGGCCTTTGAACAGTCAGAGAAGTGAATCAATATCAACCGATGGGGAGGGAAGCAAGAGGTGATTTGCAGACTCCCAAAGGGGCCACCAATGAGGGAGCTGCCCGCCTCCTGACCGGCCTTGAGGGATGGGACACTGTCATAAAGAGCAGCCTTGTCTCTGGGCCGCTGGTACTCTGAGAGTCACCAGCGCCAAGGTGTGGATATTGGAGTCTTGCTTTTTTCCCCTATCTCTTTTTAAAAGATAACTTAAAAAAAACTGGTAAGTTGATCAAAGATGTCTCTTGTTATTGCCTATCAGCTCTTCTTTTTCATCTCCTGCTACATTGCATATTTTGTTCTGATTCAGGTAAAGTGTGCCCAGCCTTTCTACTTCTAATGGCGACTCAATCTGTATTGAGCTCTTACCAAGGTCTCAAGCCAGGTGTTGTGCTGAATTTGCTCCATGCAATTACATTTTATTTTGTCTCTGTCACCCTCAGTAGATCTCCCCCATGACAATGTCTTCCATTAAGATTGAGTGTGTCCTGCTGGAGAACTGCCGGTGTGGTGAGTCTCCAGTGTGGGAGGAAGCGTCCAATTCTCTGCTCTTCGTAGATATTCCTGCAAAAAAGGTTTGTCGGTGGGATTCACTCAGCAAGCAAGTCCAGCGAGTGACCACAGGTAAGGACGAAAGCTGGGTTCAGATCCACCCAGCCAGCCATCTTTTCCCTGGGGAGAGATGGGACCATCTAAGGTGCCATCGCCTCAGGACCTTCTTGTTAAGTCTCTAAAACTTTTGTATTGTCATACTGTCTGCATCCTCCCACTTTGACCCAGGAGTAAATTCTAAATGGTCAATGCTTTCCTCTGCCTTTGCAAGTAAGGGATAACACTCCCCACTTTGTCCTGATAATGAGGCATTGTAGGATCTTTCCTTAACATTTACAGATAACAGCATTGAAAGCTGGAGACCAGGTTTGTAGCACAGCAAAGATTATCTACTTAGGGTCAGACCAAGGGCTTAATTAAAAAAACAAACAAACAAACAGATACATCTCTTTTTCAAATGTGAAAAAAAAGAGCTTTTAGACTTCTAAAGCATCAACCAGGGCTATCTGTTCAGTGTACAAAATAGGATTCACAACAAGATTTCTGGTGCCTTTGAGTGTGATTCTGTTTATGGCCATGTGATTTCTAGATGAAGTGTTTATGACATTCTGTGGCCCAAAGGGGATGGGCTTCACTGATTAGCCATAGAGAACGAAGTTTTTTGTTGTCATTATTGTGTTCACGGGAAGAGATACCAAGAATTCCTGTAACATTGGGACCCTCTCTATTAACCCAGAACTGAGGACATCAATCTTTTTTTTAATGAGAGAGAACAACCTTTTAATTCACTCAGGGGTAGGACATGGCTGGAGGCAAAGTGAGTGTGACCCTACCCCCAAACCATGGAAAAGGCTTGTGGTGTCAGCAGTAGCTTGGAAGGCTAACAGAAGTCTCAAGCCACAGGCTGGGATCCCTGATGAGACTGTGACCTTCCTAATAGTGTCCTGCACATTCCCTTCAACCTTCAATGGTTCAAATCAACTTTTGAGCAGGGCTTTTAACTGAAAGCTGCTCCCAGAGCACCCAGCACCTTGCACTAAGTAGGTGTTCAGGAAATGTTTTCAAAATAAATTCTGATAAATTTGTTTCCGGTGACTGCTCACCATGGTAATTGATCTCTCCACTTAAAAAAAAAAGAAAAGAAGAAGTTTCCTTATACACAGAACATTAAATGAGGAAAACCTAAAATTTAAAAATACAGGGAGTACATGAGATCCTTCTCTCCAGCATATGTCATCAGCTTGACTCAAATAAACTCTTACAAAAATTCTCAAAAAAATTAAATGAAATGAAAATAAATAACAATAAAAATACTAAATATAGCAATACGGTGAAGATATGTGACTGTTTTATCACTGCAGCTACATTTCTATTACTTTTATCATGCCTTCTTCCAAAAAGGATTTGAGAAACAATTTTTAATTAAACAATTTTAAATTAAAGTTTAATTTCAACAAAATATTTTAATTAAATTAATTTTAATTCAGTTCAACAACAAATTAAATAAATATTTAATTTAACTTTTAAAGTTTTATTTAATTAAATAAATTTAATTTTTAATTAAGTAAGGTCCCTTAAAAAAGACAGTCCTGTATTGGAGAGAGAGAAAGATGTCACAAAACCTAGTTGGCGGAACTAAACAGAGTTTGTCTCTGAATTTTCTGGAGACCAGGCAAATTGAGTACTGCCTACTCTGTGACATCTGCTCTGTATCCCCAATGTGGTTTGATTTCTCTGCTTCTCGCACTAGACTGGGAGCTTCCAAAAGAGGTGACTTTCATTTAACCTTTTTGTCCCTGTTCTCCAGAACAGCACACAGAGTTCATTCCCAACAAATATACTAGGTTATGTAGGTTTCACTATTCGACAGAAAGAAGAGAGAGCACTCCCATTGTTGAAAGAGCTGGAATCCTCTTAGAGACGCCAGGTGGTATGATGGTCACAATGTGCTGCTGGGCCACTGGGCTGTTTGCTGCATTCTGACTGTCGCTTTTGCCTCTTGCAGATGCCTCAGTCAGCTCAGTGGTGCTCCGCCAGTCGGGAGGCTATGTCACCACAATTGGAACAAAGTTCTGTGCTTTGAACTGGGAAGATCAGTCAACCACTGTCCTGGCCACAGTAGATAAAGACAAGAAGAATAATCGATTCAATGATGGGAAGGTGGATCCTGCTGGAAGATACTTTGCTGGTATGATTTATCTTTAGCACCTACTTACTGAGCTTGGGAAAAAACAATATCACTTATAAAAGTTTCACTGCTTTAGTGGAAAAAGTGTTATTCATAATGGGTCTTGGGTTCTTTTATTATTATTTGAGTAACTTACGTCACTAAAAAAAAATCCCGTGAGGAAAAACTTCATAGATATTCCTTTCAGTTTCTGTCTCTAACAGAGTCTAAAATTTGTATAGTATTTTTGTGGTTTAAATAAATTTTAAATACAGTTTTGTTGTTGATGTTTAAATTAGAAATAATTTCAAATTTACAGGAAAAAAGCAAGAATCATACAAACAACACCTGTATACCCTTTACCTGAATTTACCTATTGTCAACATTTTGTTCCACTTGCTCTCTCTATATATGTAAATATATTCTTCTCCAGAATCATTTGAAAGTAAGTTGCATATATCGTGTGTCTTTACTCCTAAAATACTTCAGTGTAAATTTCCCAAGAAAAATGACGTATTTTTACATGACCATAGTACAATTATTACCTTAAAGAAGTTTAGTATTGATACAATAATTTTATCTGATGTACTATCTACATTCCAGCTTTGTCAATTGACCATTTGGTTATTTTTTTAATATCCTTTATAGCATTTTCTCCTCCAATACAGGATCCAGTCTGGGATCATGTATTGCATCTAGTTGTCATGTCTTTAATATTCTTTAATCTGGAACAGAACATAGCTTTTTTTTTATGACATTGACATTTTTAAAGAACATTATCCCACCCGACTCCCCCCTTTTTCAATAGAACATTCCTCATGTCCCTTATGTTTTTGTGTTTGTCTGATGTTTCCTTGTGGTTGGATTGATGCTATATATATTCATGGCTAGAATAGGTGATGTTCTGCCCTTCTCAGGATATTCCATCTGTGATATTAGTTTTGATCACCCAGTCAAGGTCTTCTCAGATTTCTCTACTGCATAGTTATTGTTTTTTAATTGCAATTTATAAGCATTTTATGGGATTTGTTAATTATCTATCGCTATATAACAAATCACTCTGAAATTTACTGGCTTAAAATAACAATAATTTATTATCTCACATCATTTCCGAAAGTCAGTGCGACTTAGCTAGATGGTTCTAGTTCAAAATTATGTCATGAAATTGCAGTCAAGCTGTCGGTGGGGGCTACAACTTCAAAAGAGACTAGAGCCTCTGAAGAGACCTAGAGGATCTGCTTCCAAGCTCACTCATGTGGGGATTGGCAGAAGACTTCAGTTCCTTACCATTTGAGCCTCTCCATAGAGCTGTTCAGGACATGTCTTCCCCCAGAGCTTGTAA